TGGCAACATGTTCCATAAGTGCTTCTACTGCCTCTTCTTCAGAAGCACCATGCCGCTTCATGTAGCATTCAACAGCTGAGGGAATATGTCCTCTCTTTTGCTCAAACTACACAACATATGCATATATGTTATAGATAAATTTTATTATTAGTTAGTTAAAAGATATAAATAATATACATGTACATACCTTATGAGACCCTATATCATCCATGAGTCTGCCAATAAGCCTTGCTGCATTTATAATCTTAGGATTAGTGGAAATCCAATCAAAATCTTCCTCAGTTGCAATATCATCCATGCCAAGGAACGCAACTGATGTGATCAATTCGACTGCAGATGTTTCTGCTGCAAGACTTATATATTCCTCAAATGTTGGAATGTACCCTTCATTCAACCATTTGGCTTCAGAAAAGTAGCCTTGAACAATTCTTTGCATCTAATCAGGAAACATATTTATATAAATAATTAAATATTCCATACGAACNCGTCAGAGCAACACGCACACGTCAGACCTGCCAAGTGATGTGGAGCCCACACGCGTCCTTTCTCCTGCCACAAGTCGCGCGATGTCAGCTTGGAAAAAGGGAAATGGGACATAAAGCCTGATTATACACTGACAATCACACCAAACCACGGATTTAGCAATGATTATACTTTTCAGTTCAGTATAAAATAGGGAAGACCCCTTCATTAAGGGGATTCGGGCAATTTACATAAAAAAGGAACAAAACAGAAATTTCTCTCTTGTAAAACTTTGCTTTGACTTTTTCGTCTGTTGTAAGTCAGCTCGCGACCGCGACCTGACACCCACTAATATCAATACAAATCAGTGGACGTAGGACTTGCTATTTTAGCATTCGAACCACTTAAAAATTCCCTCTACAGCTATTTTATTTTTCTTTTATTCTATTTTCACGTACATCAAACAGTCACTTGATATTATACACGTAAAAATTCGTTGGTGCAAGATCGAGCATCAACAAGGTCTAAGGGCCCTAGTGAACCGTTGGATCAAAATCCTAGGGCTGATACTGGAGTAATCTTATCAACTGTAAGTTAGCGGTTTCATTAATGTAAGATGCTATGATCATTTCGAGTTTAATTAAAAAAGAGTATAATGTTAACATCAATCCCATGATTAACAGTGGTTTATAATATTGTTTCATAATCTTTAAAGAAATTATTCCAGATATTATATTGAAGTACTTTAACTAATAAAATATCATTAATTACTTGTCATTTTACACTCTTTAATCCACATATTAAAAGAACTCAGGATATACTTAATAAATTATTAAACATGCTGTCAAATTTTTTTTAATAACTACTATATATATGCAATAAAATTTATACAAAGTAGAACTGGTTAATTCAATTTCATAACAAATTAAGATTTGTTTTGATAGATTTACCTGATCATCTTAAACACGATATTCTTGATAATCTTGACTAATCTTTTTTTAGCATTTCTTATCCACTTATATTGAAGAAAAATTTATTGGTGGATGTTGAAGGGAGCCATATGCACATCACGTTTATTTTTTACATTTTTATTTCATCATGAAATTTGTGTTAAACTTTTCTATTCCAGTAACTAATGATTGGTTTACAATAGGAAATTTATCATCAAAAAATTGGAAGCTGTCATCTAGAGATTGTAAGAGAGAGTTTATAAGATTGAGTTGTAAATGTAGTATTATCCTTTATTTTATAATACAAAGTTGTTTTTATCATTAATCTGCATCATACTTTTATTATCGATTATAAATGAAATAAACAATATTTTTTATTCATACCGTTTTGAATGCAATGTTTAGTGATTGTTTCAAGAAAGTACAAATAATAATCCAAAAATTTAAAAGCATCAAACTAACTTATATCGTTAAAGAGCTTTAGATGAGGAAAAAGGTGAAATACTCTAGAGAGTAATCGAAACCAACAAGTGAACAACCATACACAAATAACCTAAATAGTAGAGAGAAAGCACACATGCAATTCACCCTGATTCACCCAAAAAAAAAGGGACTAAGTCCAACAGAGTCAATATTATTGAAATATCTCTTTACCTCTCTCGTTACAATAAACGTATTTGTCTATGATTTGCTATATCATTCATATAAGAGAATAATATGTTTATATACTAGGTTTAAGCACAAATCATATTAGGAATTTAATTACCTAGAGAAATCCTATAGCAACTCTTCATGGGATAGGCCCAAGTCACCTATGAGCTTGGGGGTGCTACTCCCTACCCTCCACCCGTTCATCGGGGAGTGGGACCCCTGTGTGCAGACATGTAGCCACATACACAATTGTGGGTTCAATTAAACACAGTCAACTTTTGGAAAAAAAAATAAAAACAATCCTTATATATTATGGAATTTACAATTTTGACCCCACAAAAATTTGAATTATTAACACTTTTTTGCCTTTTCTCTCTGTTTTTCATTTCCTCTCTTCTCTCTCATACTTTCTTCTTCCTTTGATTGAATTACTTGAGCAAGAGTATTCCTTTGGAGGTTACAAGGTAAGATGCTCATATTTTTTTTGCTTAAAAATCTTTTCTTTTAGCTTTCTTAATTGATTAAAGATCATGAGTTATGGGTTTTTATTGAGTTTAATAAATGGGTTTAAAATTGGAAGATTAAATTCCTAAATATTGATGTGAGTTTTGATTTAATCTTATTTATATTGAGGTATATGTTAATTAATTGTTGTTTTAAATTAGGTTTGATAAATTTTGAATGGTTTTAAAGAATTGATGAAACCCTAAGTTGTAGAGATTTGGTTTAATTTTAATATATTGGTTAATTGCTTGATATTTAGAGTTGGATTTGATGAGTTTTCATTGGTTTATGAGTTGAATTCTATTGGGTTCGTATAAATTTTTTTGAAAAACCTAATTTATAAGATTTGGGGCTTTTTTATTTTTTGCTTTCTTAATTGATGAAAAATCAAGAATAGGTTTTTGTTGAGTTGTTAATTTATTAATTTAGATGTTTTGAACACACTCACTAAAAATTTTGACTACGTCCTTTGCCCGTGTGCATCGGGCAGACAAGCTACGCCCTTGAACTAATTAGCTCACGTTAACGAACTATGACCTCGAGCTGCGACCTCAATTGTCGAAGTGGTCCTCAACCCCGAAAAAAGTGAAGAATTTTTTTGATGAAATTTTTTTTGTTTCATAAATTCATCTCCTTTGTTTAACTATAGAATTAATTAGGGTTTATAATTGAATAAGAAAATAAAAATTTTAGATTAATAGCACATGGGTTTATCATAGGTGGAGTGCAGGTATAACTCTTTTATTTATTTTTAGTAATTTATATATGGGATCAAATTGGCATTGAGAAAAAAAAAAAAAAAAACATTAGGATTTAAAGAGATAAAATATGAGAGGCAATATCATACTCCAAAAAATACAAAGTATGAGTACAACGATAATATTTATTGTTTAATGTCCATAGGGCGCGTCATCTAGTATGTCTTTTGAATAGCAAAATATGTTGATTCATACAGAATTAGCATTCTTTAACATCATTAATAAAGGATGCCTGAACCTTTCTTCACCATTTTTAACTTTTCAATTACATCTGCTTAATTACGATAAAAAAAAAAAAAAAAAAAACACTAAAGCAAGTTTTAATTAGACATATTTATATTTTTATTATTATTTTAATGCATATTAATACTAGTAATTTAATTTAATTTATTTGCTTAAAAAGTAAATTTCGTAATTTAAGAAATTGGATAGAAAACTAAATTTATATTAATACATGGAATCGTTCACCAAACAAGTTATTACATTCTGTTTAGTAATAGAGATTATATTATATTATTCAATACCATCCAATATTGTGGCATACAAACCAGTGGCGGATCCATAATTTTTGCCGAGGGAGGGCCTCCCCAGCTCCGCTATTGATTATCAAACAACTAGTGAAAACTTTAAAAAATCACCAAACCTTAAGTAAAAATAATAATACAATATCAAGAACCTGAGAGAAAAGAATGCAATAACACAATACTTTCCTAATTGAATAAATCTATGAGAAACAAAATTTTGATAAATATGTTGACTAAACCTTGACCAAAACCTTCTTCAATTTTTTTTTTTTTTAAATTTTTGGCTTTCAAAGATTATAATGTAAATTTTCATGACTTTGATCAGACCTAGCCTAAGCTAAAGCCAACCGCAACTTAAATCAAATCAACATTGCGTTGACTTTTAATATGAATTAATAAAAAAAATGAGAAATTTTCTTGATATAAACATAGATAGTAATTCAATTTTTTTTAATAATTTTGAGCAGCTGGACGGTGACGTTTGAAATGTAGGAAAGTGGTGGGTGAAGAGTGAATAATAATATCTTTTAAAATATAGTTAAGGTTCTAATTTGGAAAAACAGATTCATTCTTAGACACAAAACACAAAATAAACTCACAAGATCTATATCATTTTCTTTCAAATTAGAATTAAAAACCACAAAAAAAAAAAAAAATATAATTCAACCATAAAATAAACTAAATTGAAATGAACAATATACATACCTAAAACTGATAAAATAGAACACGAAACTAATTCTAGCACCGTAAGTAGTGAAAGCTTCAACAATTTCAGTCTTCAAAAGTTTTAAGAGCGAATAGCATAAGACAAAGAATGAGTGAATGTGAGAGTAACGAATTTTGAGGATAAAATCATAAAAAGCATATAAAGCTGTAAAGAAAAAGAATAGAGAAAATTTTAAACTTTTAATATGAGATACGCTTAGAATATTATATATTAATAACAATTTTTTTGTGAATGTAGATATATGTATAATAATTCTCATTTTTTTTTAAATATGAACATGGCTGTATATATATATTAATAACAATTTTTTGTGGTCAATATATTAATAATTTTTTTAAAATCTTGAGGCGTACCCTCAAAAGGGGCTAGATCCGTCCTGATACAAACTCTCCCTTGAGTACTTATTCAATACATAAAAGGTGTGTAGACAGTTTATTTTAATAGTAATAGAACTTGTCTTCAAAGTATTGGGTCTCTGAGCAATGAGGCAACTTGGTCTTTAATTTTAGTAGGATCACTGAAAGCATCAATTTCACGATCATCCTTGTACACAAATTCCATTGTACGACAATAATTGAGAATCCGTTCAAGCAGAGGCATCGATACAGCAGTTGGTTTGAGCATGGCCTCATTCAAATCTTTCCAAGCGTCCGCAACTTGTTCCAGAATCACCCTAATTGCCTCGTCTTCCGATACACCATACTGCTTCATGTAGCATTCAACAGCTGAGGGAACATGTCCTCTCTTTTGTTCAAACTAATTCATAATTTATGCATACTGTTAGATAATTAAGTTTTAACTAGATTACCTAAGGAATTGCGGTAAAAAATTAATTACTCAGCATTTTTGTTAAGGATCATGTAAAGCTCAGATCAGATTAGGAGAGGATCCTGATCTCATATTCATACCCTGTGTGACGCTTTGTCATCCAAGAGTCTGCCGATAAGATCTGCTGCTATTATAACTTTGTGATCAGAGCACAACCAATCAAAATCATCTTTAGTTGCACGCAAGCCAATGAAGGTAATCGATATTATCCATCGGCAGCTAGCAGTTTCCAGTGCAACACTCATATATTCCTCAAATGTCGGAACATACCCTTTATTGAACCATACGGCTTCAGTATAATATGCTTCTGCCACTCTTTGCGCCTATGGAGAATACATTACCCAAGAAAGGTTAAAGAAAGAATCTTAATATACGGTAACACTCTAATGCTCATGTCAACAAGAATCTCTGGATTGACGTATGTATATGTCCACAATGAATAGCGCCGATAAATAATGTTTTATACCGCAAGACAAATATTAATGTTGTTTTTGTTTCATATTTCAGAAAATTTATTCATGTCATGTGTAAAACCATGTGAAGGGCGAAGCTTGATATCACCTACCAACTTTTCTGGATAACTTATGCTGTATGGTCTTCCTTCCCTAGTCGTATCTTCCTCAATTGCACCGAAAATATCAAAGAGCGTCTTGTAAATAAATTTCATGTACTCTGGAAGTGTATCTATGGCGCCAATGTCCCATCTGAAGGTAAAATAACCATTCACATCTTTTATAAAAATTGAAGCCAGAATTTTGAAATTAAAATGATTATAAATATACAATTTCTTACTTTATAATGAAAACTCTAAGGGATCAATTTAAGCTGTATGCGATATGTATCTTTAATTTACCTTCTAATTGCTTCTGTAAAGAGTGTGAGTTCTTCAAGTGTACCATAGGAATCGTATGTATCATCTATGAGGATTTGCATAGAGAAAACTTCTGTCAATTTCCTTATGCCATATGCATATTTTGGCTCAAAGAACATTCCCAAGATCCAAAAATATTCCTCCACCATTCTGTCTCTAATGTAAGGCAGCTTTTTTTAGTAAAGCCTAAGGTTTTCCGCCACCTGAAATAATAAATCTTCATATAAAAACTAATTTCTCAGATCAAGTTCACAAGTAATTGATATTTTAATTAATGAACGAGAAAGTGTGTTATATATATATAATGACAGAAGTGTTTCCAACACTTCCAATATATAAAACACCGAAAAAAAAAAAAAAAAAAAAAAGCTTCCTCTTCACAAGTTAGTATACGCAATAATATAAAATTAATGAACAGAGAAAAAATATAACTCGTTTTTCACCTTATATGATTATGATTGTTGATAACTTCACTAATATCTAAAACTTTCCATTTTAGTTTAGTTGTTTTCTTTTTTTTCTTTTTTTTTGTTGGGGTGGGGGGTTGGTTGTTGACCAACCTTGAGAAAATATATTAATAAAATAAAATAAAGTTGTAAATCAATTTTGTGATGTATTAAAATATGAACTTACTTTAAGATGTCACTGAGTTGCCTCTGGGGCCTCACTTAGTATGTTATAGTCAACTTCGCAAATTTAACAAAGTTTTATTGTGAGAATTATCTCTTGCGTAGGTGGACATGAAAAATCTTGCCTCATACCTTGGTACGCTCTTACGGATAGGAAATTTCAAAGTATGATTTATTTCTTCTGCAAGGTGAGTGCTTACACGAGATGCCATTGACTTAAGCTGGGTGGCTGTAAAAGCGAGGGCTTCATCCAGAATATCTTCGCCGTGAATAGCGAAGTGTGCTGCCTCATGCAAATTTAGCATCCTTGAACATCATTAATCAAGGATGACTTGAATTTCCTATCAACATCTTTAAACTTTTCAAATACATCTGCTCACAACAACGACCTTCAATTAGATATGTTCATATTTTATTAATTTCATGAGTGATATTATGAATATTATTTGACATTGTTTACTTACCACAGGAAACCTTAATTCCTTGTTGTCGAAGAAGTCGAAAATGCACTGAAACAGTGTGGAGATCATTAAATGATCAATGTCACAATCATTATAATTTTTTGCAAAGCATCTTCTATCTCTCTTCAAAGTTATAAGCCACACATAACTTTTGTAATGTATCAATCAATTTCAATTTCTGTGCTGGTGCATCTGTAGTATCCATTATCATCCTCTTTACCTCTTCTTTCAGTTTCTCATATTCTTCTTGAGTTGTAGGATCAATTTTCTGCAAAAAATAAAAAATAATATATATATATTTTCTATAGAATGTATATATGCTTGCACGTTTCTTTACCTTAAATTCAGAATCATCTTTGAGGAATTGGTCTCCCCATACGTGGGATGGAATTAGCAATGGGACGAATAGGTTTCGGTGGTGAGTTGCAGCTGCTGAAACCTAGTAGAAGACATATTTTTATTTCAATTAATCACAATTATTATCTGTAATGTGAGTTTTTCCTAACGCGAACATACTCTTATATAGGAAAGCTACGTACATCTGCACACCGCACAACCGTTTTAAATTTAATAACTATAAAAATGAATAGATTAGCACTTTTCTAAGTAGGAAGTGTCAAGTGGCAACTATACAGAGTCTTAATTAGTTTTAATCACTTTTCTGACACTCAACGTTCCAATGTTTTTTCTCTCAATTCAAAGCGAGCTTCTACATTTTTATGGATATAATAAACGCCCTGTACTTTTGTCCTTTTTAGTTAGTTTTAGGCGGATATTTTCTTTTTGGCTGTCAAAACCAAACCTCTCTTTCTCTACTTCTCATGCCTGATATTTCTTTAGCGCCAATATGATTCAACAACTTAGGTTCCAATTATTTTTTTTTTTTTTTTTCAAATTCTTATTCGACACAAGACAGCTTTCTCCACCTATCAAGTCAACAAGACCTTTTTTTCTTTGCTTTGTCAAATAATACTACACATTTTATATTTGTACTTTTTATTTTAAAAGTTTAAGATTAAATTATGTATCAAGATTTAGGAGAATGTAATGTTATTGGGACCACAATTATACCATTTTTTTATTTTTTTTAATTTGTGATAATATATATTTGAAGCTAGAGGAAATAAGACGATATTTTTTATAATTATTTTGAGTTGGCCTTGAGACCACTAACATGTATTGGCCCATTGTGTTGTTGTTGTTTTTTTTTTTTTTTTTTCTAGTTTTTTATTTTTTATGGAGAATATGAGTTCTTAAGACCATATTGTTTACTTATTTTTTTATATTTATTATAAAAAAAATGGATTTAATTGCTCAAATGTTTGGTTATTTGAATAGATATTTTACGAATATCAATTCATTTTAGTTAATGTATATAATGTATATCTATTTAAAAAAATACATTAAGGTCTATTTCAATTCAATTTCTATTACTTATAAATTATAACTGTATTAGGTAATGAAATTTTTTTATAAATATAAACATGTGCTTGTGCTTATTTTAATTTAAAATTGAATTTTCCTTAAACTTTGGCCTTTCTAACGTTTCATTTCTAGTTACGTCCCTGCCCAGAACCTCCTCCCTGCATAACCCAGCAACATCCTCTCTCTCTCTCTCTCTCCCCCTCTCCCCGCGGCATTAAGCCATTAAAACTGACAACAACTGAGAAGAAAAGGGGGTTCTTGGTTATTAGCCATACCTGGGGGGTTATATAAGCCATTACAGTTCAATTAATCAAGGTGAATCCAAATATTCTAAACAATATACATGTTTTAGCCTTTAGGAATAAGAAGAAGTGCGTTTGATTGGTCTTTGGTCTTTAGTTGCTCAACCAGACTATCAAGAATATCTTAATATCTTTTTCATAACTTTAAATTAAAAATTATTCTTTAGTGTTTCTTTTTCTCCAGTTTTCTACAAGAAGAAGGTAAAGTCTAAGATGAATATTTGTTTTGTATTTATTGTTGGCAGTTGAAGGGAGACTACATAGCAACTTGCATTTATTTTTAAAATTTCCATTTTAATTATGAATTTCATGTTTTGGGAACAAGATTTAGGTAGAAAATTTTCAATTATAGAAATTAATAATTTCAACTTAAAGTGATAATTTTAGTGATGACAAACGGTTCTAAATTTTCTTAATTGAAATCAGTCACAATAAGGCAAAAAAAGCAGAGATGACTAAGCAGTCACAATAAGGCAAAAAAAGCAAGACTAGTAAAATTCCCTGACGGAGAGAAAGAATGGAGAAGAATGGTTTCCTATTAATTGTGTATTTTGTACAAGTGTACATTAGACCTCAGCATTTGGGACCGGTCCCAAAAATCGGCCCTAGGGGGTTTGCCTTGCTATGGCCGAATGCAAGAAGAGATGTGGCCAAAATAAACATGAGTTCGAAGTGATTTATTTTGTTGCATGTAAATCTTCATGATTTATTTGGGTTTTCAATTGTTTTTGTATGTTGGCTGCTTGTTGGATATATGAGTTGCCTGGGTCATGAAGATATTATGTGTGTTTCAAAATGAATTATAAGCTTGCATTTTTGGGTGACATTGCAATTGTTAGGTTTAAATGTGTGACTATATGCTGTGTATATATATATATATGTATAAGTAGAGTTTCTTGTATGAAGTTAAATAGTGTGTGAGACGAGGTATTGAAGCTAAAATGTGTTTTGTAAAGGGGAGGTAAAAATTTGCTAAATGAAGAGGGAAGAAAATCTGCATTTTTTTGTATGGGTAATATTTGCTGAACTGTTTTGCATTTCTCATCTGGGCTGGAATCTTAGTGAAGAAAAATGCATTTGCTTAGTATTAGATATTAAGTTTGTCTCCTTTGCATGGTTTAAGTATTTGTAAAAGAAAATGGTTTTATATTTTTAATTAAATGTGGGTTGCCAGATTTGGGAGCAATTACATTATGGACTGTTGTTTGGGCTTGGCTAATGGAAGAGTAAAGGAGAGAGAATGTCGAACTGGTCTTCACAACCACAAAATTAAACCTAAATACCATAGTTAGCGGTAAGCAGGGTCGAATCTACAGAAAGCAAGACTAACAACCTAATGTATATTTGAGTAGCGGAAATGAAATTGACAATTTGATTAATTAAACTAAACAAACTAAATGCAAATAATAAAAGCTTGAAATTAAAACTAATGAAGACTTTATAATAAAAACGTTGCCACTATTGTTTTGGTTCAACACGAGACCAACTCACACAATTCTCCTCCACCCTCTACGATCCCCTAAATCTACAAGGCAAGGTAAATCAATGAAATGGTTTTTCGGCACTCTAGGTATAATCTATCATGTTTTACCCGATCACTCAAGTTTGATTGGTTAAAGAATATCATTGAATGCCGATAAACACTACAAGAGAATATCACTAGTTGGCACGAGATTAACAAATACAATTTGTCAGCATGTATCTTCCAATCAACCAACTTCACAATACTACCAAATGTCCTACAATTGGGCTCATCCATCTAGTCGAGGGCTAATAAGGAGAGCAGTGGAGTCAATCTCGATCTCGCCTACGCCACAACAGACAACCGAGAACTTAGTCGCTCATGATGGTGTCCATAAAGGCTAGAGCGGTGAAAACGAAGATGGTCATGGTAGAGAGGAAGTAACTGACAATGAGATGATGAGAAAAAGGAGTGAAAATGACCAACGGACAGCCCAGAATGCGAACAGTTGCACTTGTCGAATTATGTTAGTTTTCTGACGGGTCTCCTGGCAAATAGTGGCGAAAATGGGATCCGAAGGTACTAATGGAAAGCTCAGGTGATGGAGAGTTCAAATCAGGTCTTAGGGAGATGAAAGGTCACTTGAAAGTGAGGAAATCGCGGCTGGAAGGTGCAGAGACGCAGTGGCGGCGATGGTGGATTACGGCATTTTTGGCAGCAGTTGAAGCTTGGAATAGATAGATCTGAGTGTGGGGAAGGTAGATCGGCCACTAGGGAAGTGAAATGTTACCGGACATCACCGGAAAATGGCTAACGACTGCTAGAATGCAAAACGTCATTGGAAAATGACGTGAATCGTGGTGGTGAGTGCGGGATGATGATGATCG